AAATATAAAAAATTAGTGGGGTATGGTGGTGGGCACCTGTAATCCCAGCTACTCCGGAGGCTGAGGCAGAACTCCTGGGAGGCAGACGTTGCAGTGAGCCAAGATCACAACATTGCACTCTAGCCTAGGCGACAAGACCAAGACTCCATATCAAAAAAAAAAAAAAAAAAAACAGTGTTGGGGAGGTAAACAGGGAGGGCAGGGCAGGAAGTTTCCTGGAGGAAATGAGGCTGGAAGTGACCTTGAAGGCAGGGGCAGGGGAAATGCTTTCAAAGAAGCAGGCCTGCAACATGAGGCTGAGCACGTTAGGGGTGCACACGGAGGAATTGCAGGAGATGCCACCAGAGGAGGAAGGGGTGTGATGAAAAGCCTTGAGTTTCTGGCAAAGATTTTAGATTTCATCTTTAGTAGAATCAGAACTGCTTCAGGATGAGATATCTTACCTCTGTCCCTCACTTTATGGCCTCTCTCCCTCTCTGCCTTGGGATTCCCATTGGTTCAATGAAGAGATAGGACCAAATGATTTCTTGATGACATTCAAAAGACATCATGTTTCTAACGCATAATTCGAGGTGCCCAAATATCCACATTCTCCCTTCATCATCAGAGAGCTTGAGATGGTTCATATGTGGGTTTGTTACATAACAAAAAGATAATCTGGCTGGGTGCGATGGCTTACACCTGTAATCCCAACACTTTGGGAGACCAAAGTGGGTGAATTACTTGAGGTTAGGAGTTCAAGACCAGCCTGCTCAATATGGTGAAACCCTGTCTCTACTAAAAATACAAAATTAGCCAGGCCATGGTGGCGAGCAACTGTAATCCCAGCTCCTTGGGAGGCTAAGGCAGGAGAATCACTTGAACCTGGAGGAGGAGGTTGCAGTGAGCCAAGATCGCATCATTACACTCCAGCCTGGGCAACATGGGCAAAACTCATCTGAAAAAAAAAAAAAAAAAGATAATCCATTTATAAATTTTAAAAATTTTAAAAATGAAGAGCTTGTGATAGGCACACAGCCACTAAGCTGAAGACATCTTCTAGGTTGTCTTTGCAGCTGATGGGGCCGTGAGACTAGGCTTTAACCAATGGGCTGAGAGTTAAAGTGGTTTTTGCCATTCTGTTTTTAGGAATGGATGGCAGATTATATTTTTCAAAGGTGACCACAAAAATATCTCCTACCTCATGTGTGATTCTACAGTGAGGTCTATGTCCCCTCTTCCTAAATGTGAGGACACTTGTGACTGCTGTGACCAACAGAGTATGGGGTATGATGCCATGTGACTTTGGAAGCTGGATCACAAAAGTGATTGTCTTGTTTTTTTTTTGTTTTGTTTTTGTTTTTTTGTTTGTTTTTGAGACGGAGTTTCGCTCTTGTTACCCAGCCTGGAGTGCAATGGCGCGATCTCGGCTCACCGAAACCTCCGCCTCCTGGGTTCAGGCAATTCTCCTGCCTCAGCCTCCTGAGTAGCTGGGATTACTGGCACGTGCCACCATGCCCAGCTAATTTTTTGTATTTTTAGTAGAGACGGGGTGTCACCATGTTGACCAGGATGGTCTCGATCTCTTGACCTCGTGATCCACCCGCCTCAGCCTCCCAAAGTGCTGGGATTACAGGCTTGAGCCACCGCACCCGGCCCACAAAAGTGATTGTCATGAGTTAAATGGAGTCCCCCCTGAAATTCATACATTGAAGTCCTAACTCCCAGTACTTCAGAATGTGACCTTCTTTAGAAATGGGATTGGCCAGGCACGGTGGCTCACACCTGTAATCCCAGCACTTTGGGAGGCCAAGAAGGGCGGATCACAAAGTCAAGAGATTGAGACCATCCTAGCCAACATGGTGAAACCCTGTCTCTACTAAAAAAAAAAAAATTAGCTGGGAGTGGTGACGCACACCTCTAGTCCCAGCTACTCCGGATGCTGAGGCAGGAGAATTGCTTGAACCCAGGAGGCGGAGGTTGCAGTGAGCCGAGATCGCGCCACTGCACTCCAGCCTGGTGCCTGGCAACAGAGCAAGACTCTGTCTCAAAAAAAAAAAAAAAAAGAAAGAAAAAAAAGAAATGGGATCATCACAGATATAATTAGTTAAGATGAGGTCATATGACAGTGTGTCAGCCCCTAATCCCATAGGACTGGTCTCCTTTGAAAAGGGGAAATTTGGACACAGAAACAGACATGCACAGAGGGAAGATGATGTGAGGAGACACAGCTCAAACACCCACCTTCAAGGTAAGGAGAGAAGTCTGGAACAGATCAGAAGGAATCAACTTGCCAACAACACCTTCATTCACTCAGTCTGTGATTCTTTGTTATGGCGGCCCTAGCAAATTAAACAGCAATGTCACCTTCAGTTGATTCTCTTGAAACACTCTAGGCGGGAGACAAGTTACCACATAAGTCCAACCCCAAGAATATCAGGCTGGAGAAGCCACATGTAGGTATGAAGGTCAACAGCCCTGGCTGAACTCAACAGTCGGCACCAACATGGGAATGAGTCTTCTCAGGCATCAGCCCAGTGGATCCTTTAGATAACTGCAACCCTGCTAACCTCTGACTGTATCCGCACCTGAGACTCAAAGCAAGAACTGCAGAGTCAAGCGCTTCCTGATCCTAACCTACAAAATCCTGAGTGATACACAATGGTTGTTTGAAGCTGCCAAGTTTTAGGATAACTTATTATAAACATAGTAACTAGAGTGCCTACCTTTCCCTTCCCTCCCTCGCCACTGGCCGGGACACAGATGAGGTCATGGTGGGCTGTCTTCAGTCCTGTAAATGACATAGATGAGGGCGTGGGGAAGCCACAAATGAGGGGCCTGGGCTCTTGGATGCCCTTATGGAGCAGAGCTGCCGACTCCCCAGATGCCACTCACATTTCATGCAAGAGAAATAAATTTCCATCTTGTTTAAGCCACTGTTAACTCCATCTGTTTTTTTTTTAAGCCAAATCAGTATCCTAGTAATATGATATACACAAAACAAACAGCTCAGTGTCTAGCACATAAATAAGTGCTTTTTGGAAAAGGTAATATTGCTATTGTCATTATTATGATACTAATAATTATTATTAATAATATCATTACCCTATACTGCTCAACACGCCTCAAAATGAACATGAGGTGGACCCATGTCACTGATGGTCAATGAGACACATCAAGCTGGGCAGAAATTGTCTGTGGTCATGCCTAATTCACACCAGGTGTCTCTTCCACCTGCCTTAAACTGACTACAGTTCTCCCAGGCAGACCAATAGCCAGGGGATCATGGACACCAACACACAGACACATCCTCTCCCTCCCCACCCTCACAATGAACCAAAGCTCCCAGCAGCCACTGTGTGCTCCCATCCCACCTGTCCTGTTGCAGGAGAGAAGACAGGAGGCAAAACAGATGGAAAGTGGGTTAGAGATAATGAGTGTGGAAAGGGAGCCAAAGAAACTAACTCCACTCCCAAGAAATCAGGCAAGGCTTCCAGGAGGAGCTGACCACTATCCTGAGAGTATCTCTCTGCCAGGCTGAAGAGAGGGAAAGGGCTCTGCAAGCAGGGCGAGTAGCCTGGGCACAGGCATAGAGCATCAGAATCCACATAGCTGGTGACCTACCCCTGCCTTCTCTGCCTCACCCTTTCAGCTCTACCTCAGGGAGGCTGAAGGGCAGCACAGGGGAGAGTGGGTGTCAGAGCCCTGTGGCCCCCAAGGGACCTGTGTCCAAGCAGGGACCTCCTCTGCAGCTATGGCAGAGTCAGCTTTAGAGTATTCTCTTCTTCCAGAACCATTGAACTGCAAATAGTGCTTAAAAATCCTGATCCGATGCAGGGATGCCCTCAGCCTTCCTGTCCTTTTTACCCTCTCTGTGTCAGGGGCTTTGACCGCAATCTGATTTTCCCCCTCATCTTCTAGCCCCCTGCTTCAGATTCCGGCAGGTCTTGCTGATCTAGAGGCCCAGGATAGAGCCCACAGATACAGGAGGCTGTGTCTGAGGAAAGAGACATAGGCCCTTCCTTTCTGAGGCCCAGGGAGGGAGACAGGACAGAGGCATAGGCAGAACTTTCAGTCAACAGAGCAGAGGCCCCGAAAGCTGGGCAGCCAGAGAGGGCAGGAAGAGTGCAATTGGGCAATCGGGCAATCAAGGCAAGCCTCTTAGAGGAAAGGGGCAGGGAAGGATGGATGTCAGGGGAGATGAGCCTGCAGGTGGGCTCTGGAATAGGTGCAGAGTTGTGAGGGATTCAAGCTGGACTCATTTCAATATCCACAGCGCCTTTAGGCTTCAGTAGCTAGTCCAAGGGAGGAGGGTACATGGGAGGGTGTCCCTATGGCCTTGTCACTAGGAAAGGACTGTTAGTGATTTATCCACTGAGTGTGAATTCAGCAAGTTGGGGAGGGTGGTTTCTTAGGGATAGGGCAGCCTCCACACTCCCCTCCCATTGATCCTCTGCTCCCGGAAAGGGGGACGGCAGAAATGACCTCCCTCTCGGCGAGCACACACACAGCCATCTCACTCCCACACGGCTCTTCCTCCACCGCCCCATTTCAGACCACAGTTCACCGCCAGCCACTCCAGCCCTGGGCGCTAGTAACACAGCTCCTGGGGAAGCGCCCGGGTGTGTTGGTGCCCGACCCGCCCCCCCCAGACGTCTTTGGCTTCACGGGGTGGGGGAGGGACAGCCCTGTCCCCATCTACTCTCCTAGGCTGCTAGCAGGCTCCCATCCACTCCCCCCACACCTTCTTCCTGAGCTCCATCCACCCCTGCCCCCACTCGACCAGAATTCCTTCCACAGCAATCCCTGGTGAGGGCCCTGTCCAGCTCCAGGCTGGGTGATTCGAGTCTTCCCTAGGCTCCGAGCAGAGGGAACCCCGCCGCCCGCCCCAGCCTTGTCCTGGAGCGCCTCTGTCCGAATAGGTTTTCTCTTCCCTGACCCCCACGCCTCCACCCTCCACTTCCAACGGACGCCACCTCCACTAAGGAGAAAGGAAAAGAAATACAAAGGCACACATTCCATTTCTGCGGAGTTTGCTCTTTATTTTGGGACCAGGGAAGGACCACATACAGCCCTCCAGCCCAGGCGGCGGGGGCAACGAGACGCAAGGGAAGGGCCGCACCCGAACCCCGTCCAGACGCCGCTGTCTGGAGGCGGAATCGGGTTTCTGGGGTCCGGAGTGCGTATGCAAATGAGGTGGGCGTGGTTGGCAGAACTCCCAGGAGGCCTAGCGGGTCCTCACCACTGGTCTACGCCCTCTGACCTGGGGGAGCAAAGGGAAAGGAATTGGATCTGGGGAGGCGAGCCTGGGAGACTTCGTAAACGAAGTTACCAGGGTGGGGCCGGGCCAAGCTCTCGGAAGCAGGATGTGTGGTGAAGGGGGCGCTTTTACCGCGACCTGACGTGGCGGTCCTCGCCGTCGGGGAAGAACGTCTTGGCGAGGAGCGCTTCCGGACTGTCTCGTTTCCCATACCTGGAGGAGGGGGCGGGAAGGGCGTGGTCAGACCTGGCCACGCCCCTATGTGGAGCGGGGCAGCGGGTGAGATTCCCAGGAGTCCCGAGGCGCCCGCTCCGCGCCTGCGCTCACCGCTGCCGGGTGACCAGGTTGAGGTAGTGGCGCAGGGAGGCGTAGTAGCGACTCAGCTCCTCCGGGGAGGCATCTTCGCCGGGAGCCTCCGGTTTGATGGGGTAGGCATCGACCAGCGCCCCCAGGCAGACGAGCAGGGCCAGAAGCACTGTGACCAACGCGAGCCACGGCCTACGCACCAACACCATCTGGGAAGGCGACACTGGGGCGTGGGTCATTCCGAGCCTCGACGCTCCGCAGCAGGAGGCTGCGGCTGCCGTCTGGGCAGCGCTTCAGCGCTCTCCCAGTGGCTGGTGCCTGACCAAGGCTCAGCCACCGGTTTGCTGTGTGTTCTCAAGCACTGCACCGTCTCCTGACTCAGTTTCCTCATCTGTCAGAGGGGCGTTAAGCTCTGCCTGCCTCCCCCGCTGCTGTCCAGAAAGGTAGATGGAAGAAGAGGGCTGTGCTAGCAACGGGACTCCTGGGCCTCCTTCCCGTCTCCGATGGCCCCCTCCAATCCAGTTTCCCACCAGTCACCCCCGGCTGCCACGATTCCAGCCTCAGTTTCCCCACAAAGCAGACTGAGTTTCCCGGTACCAGACCATGTTTGAGCCCCCAGCCACTTACAGTGATAGCTCGTGAAGCAGATGAGCAAGAGATGGGAGGCGAGGGAAGTCCCAAGGGCTGCACTCCCGCAGGTCAAGCCGAGGTCTCCTCTGCTCAGCGCTTTCCTTTCGGGGCTTATATCCCCGCCTGGAAAGGGAGGGGGAGTACCAGGAGGAGGGGGAGCCAGCAGGGCGTGGGCCCTTCTTCCTCCCTCCTTCCACCCCTGCGAGATCACTGAGCTTATACCCAGCCAGTACGTGAGCTTACACCCAGCCAGCACCCCGCAGGAGCTCAGGGGGCAGCTGCCATGCTCAGATTCGGGGTCCCATGGATGGGTTACCCAGCCTGAACCCCATGTTCACCCCTCACCCCCCCCCACCCAGTGGCAGGTCTAGCCTCCCGAGGAAGTGAAGCGGTTGGAGCTAGACTCCTGGGCAGGCCCTAGGACCAGGATTGAGATTCTATCTTCCCTAGCCTGTCGGTGAGAAGGAGTAGGGAGTGGGAGCGTGGATGCATTTCCTCCAGCCTGTGGGACCTATGTCCTCTCTTTCCAAAAGACAACCCTTTTCAGCCTCTGCTCAGTAATACCTTGAAGAAGGGCTGAGGACTGACAGGATCTCTGGGAGAAAGTCTTTCTCCTGGAGGCAGGGGTGGGAGCACATGACCTTGGTTCCTGACATGCAGTTTATGTGTCCTGGGGGAGCGGCCCTTCTGAACACTCCATTATGTCCTCTCTCTACTAAAGAGTTGGAAAAGAGGCAGGAGGAGGCAGAACAGAAGCCAGTGCCCCCCACCAGATGCAGCTGAGTCGGCCACCTGTGTATCCAGCCTGGCACACACAGACCCCGGTCCAGCCATGTGTGGCATACAGCCCCCTCCCAAGGCAGAGTCTCTTCACACCTATGCAGGTGTCATTCAGGGCACAGGTGTCTTCTAGACCTGAGTGATGCCAAGGCTTCCCAGGCACATGCCACTGTCCCCAGCCCATGCCAGTCTCCACTGGGCTCTGAAGCCCAGATCCTTTGAAAGAAAGGACTCGTGTTTATTAAGCACCTATCTGCACCAGGTAGTGCATAATTTCAGGCGTCACAAGACAGTGAGGTGAGTTCATCTCCATTTTCCAGATTAGCAAACTGAAGCCTTGAGAGGTGATAGAGTAGCCAAGCTCACCCACGATTCAAATAGGAAAAGGAGGGTGAGGCAGATCCCAGGAAGAGGACCTCTCAGTCATGAGGGCAGAAAGACTCAGCACCTGGAGTAGCTATGGGGCGCCAGAGGCAGGCCTGGGAGCAGGGACCTAAAGGCTGAGTCTGGTGCTCACCACCCACTCTGAGAGGCCAGGGCAGGGGAAGGGCCTCCAGACTGCCAACCCCCTCAAACCCACCTGCCCAGGAGGAGAGAAGGCTGTGGGAAGGTCCTCCCATAAAGCCCTTCCAGCTTCCTCTCCCTGGCCTGGCCAGACCTCCAGTACTTCTAGATGTCCCATCAGCATCCCCTTGGTTCTGAGCCAGCTCCTCCAACCCCAGGACAGATGGCTGTGGGTGCTATTTTTAGAGCTCTCCTGAGGTGGGGAGTTCAGGGCTCCCGCAGTCACCCTTTTATGAGTTCAATCACCTGCATTCTCCGGAAATGGCTCCTTATCAGCCAGTCAGGCCGCATGGGACTGTACATCCCAGGAGGCACCAGGGTGCCCTGCTGAGCATGGAGGTGAAAGAGGACACCAGGACAAGGGGACATAGATCCTGCCCTTGGAGAGAGGAGAAAAATCATTCTTCTTAGGGAGCCCTCATCCAAGGGGCAAGGCACAGCCCTGTCCATCAAGAACCCCAGTCTCAATGGAGAGACGTGGCCACGTCATAGGGGAGCCCCAGTCTGAGGGGTTCCTAGAACATACATAGAGACAAACAGAGATAGCCTTTGTCCTGTTGGGAGGGGAGACAGCAGAAATCAAAGAATTTCACTCCTGGGGGAAGACAAAAGACAGTTGCTCACCCTAGGATGGAGCGGGCAGCGGGGGTTGGTTAGGACATCTGTGATCCCAGGGGTCAGGGCCCAGAGAAGGACCCTGAAGGCTAACGGGGCAAGGATACCAGAGCGTAGGGGGCTGTTTGCTCTCCCGACCCTGTGGCGTTAACCATAGAGGTGATGGGTTTCTAGAATGCTGATTTCGGGCAGAGAGATGGAGACTGTGAGAAGTCCAGGGAATCTGACATCTGGAACACGTCATGTCCTGGAACCCCATCATGTCTTGGCGTATGTGGGGTCCAAGGACAGACGGGAAGAGAGGAGAAACACTGTAGAAGCTAGAGGGCATGGAGTGGCCTGAATTCAGGCTACAACCTCTGAAAAAGTCACTTCCTCATTTATAGCCAAAGTAAATGGGCCCCTAGGTGGTCTCAGTGTGGACCAGGAACCAGCCTCACACATCCCTGAAAACCCTCTCTATCCATCATACTCCCATCCTCTAATCCCGGTTCCCAATTACAGGGCAAGCTGATTGTTTCATTAATCACCGCCTCCTCATCGAAGAGCTTATTAACTTGTTGATTAGCGAGGAGGATGCCTCAGCCACCCCCCTCATCCATACACCCACACCCATTATTGATGCATGACTCAGGGCTGTGAGACTTGTCTGGGGTGTGGGGGGCTGACAACTATGGGGGGGGGGAACTTCAGAAACAATTGTTTTTGTAGATGTGAGACCAGGACCTGCCTCCAATTTGTCCTTGAAGGGTAGGGGACAGAATCAAAGGGCTCCCTTGGTCCCCATTCTCAGAGCACCTTTCAAGGCCACCCCAAGTTAGGGAGACCATGGACCTGGACCCCAGCTGCCAACCATTCGCCTTGTCCAGTGGGCTCAAGGGCCACTCATCAAAATGGTGTGGCCTCTGCCACATCACCCCATCACCCACCCAGCTGTACCCACTCCCCATGAAAAAGACCTCTCTTTGATTACCATGCGCTGTGCAGCACTGGTCCACTGCCTTCCACCCTCAGGCATTTTCTCACACCAAGGTTCCTGTAGACAGCACGTTGTTATACACCAAGTGTAATTCAATCCTCATTCAATAAGCACTTATTAAGTCTCTGCTGTGGGCCAGGCACTGATCCAGACACTGGGATAGAACAACAGACAAATGGGCAAAATTCTTGCCCACATCGATCTCACATTGTATTGACAGGAAATAGAAAATAAATAAATATGGAGGCCAGGTGCGGTGGCTCCCAGCACTTTGGGAGGCAGAGGCAGGTAGATCATCTGAGGTCAGGCATTCGAGACCAGCCTGGTCAACATGGTGAAACCCCCTGTCTACTAAAAATACAAAAATTAGCCAGGCACAGTGGCACATGCCTGTAATCCAGCTACTTGGGAAACTGAGGCAGTAGAGTGGTGCCACTGCACTCCAGCCTGGGTGACAGAATGAGACTCTGTCTCGAATGAATGAATGAATGAATGAGCAGGGAATATGTCTGATAAGCACTATAGAAAAAAAATCAGAGCTGGGTGTAGTGGCTCACCTCTGTAATCCCAGTGCACTGGGAGACCAAGGTAGGAGGATCACTTGAGCCCAGGAAAGAAGTGAGGAAGCAAACCATGAAGCTACATTGGGAAGGGTGGGGGGCAGGTGTATGAAACAGTGATGCCAAGAAGGAAGCGATTTTCACGTTTTATGGTAGGAGTTCTCCTAGGAGCCCTCCCTCTTAACTGAAGCTTCTGCAAAACACAGTAACGGATACCTGTGGCCTGGTGCACATACCAAGGCTCAGGCTTCACTCTAGAACAGAGGTAGGTAAATTTTCTGTAAAGGACCCGAGAGTAGATATTTTAGGCTTGTGGTCCATACAATCTCTGTTGACACTGTTAGGCTCAGCCAGTGTAGCTTGAAAGCAGCCACTGAATATATCAAAAAAAGAATGGGCATGGTGGTGCTTCAGTAAATCTTTAGCATCTTTACAGATGTTAGTTTGAATTTCATACAATTTTCATGTCATAACATTTTTGGGGGTTTATTTCAACTGTTTACAAATTCAACCACTTTAAAATTATTTTATTATTATTGAGCTCAAGGGATCCCCTGGCATCAGTCACCCAAAATGCTGAGGTTATAGGCATGAGCCACTGTGCCTGGCCTAAAAGGCATTTTTTTTTTTTTTTTTTTTTTTGAAACAGAGTCTTGCTGTGTCACCCAGGCTGGAGTGCAGCAGCGTGATCTCAGCTCATTACAACCTCTGCCTCCTGGGTTCAAAAGATTCTCCTGCCTCAACCTCCTGAGTAGCTGGGGTTACTGGCATGCGCCACCACACCCAGCTAATTTTTGAATTTTTAGTAGAGATGGGGTTTCACCATGTTAGCCAGGCTGGTCTCGAACTCCCGACCTCAAGTGATCTGCCTGCCTTGGCCTCCCAAAGTGCTGGGATTATGGGTGTGAGCTGCCACACCCAGTCCCTAAAAGGCATTTTAACCCACAGAATGTATAAAAGCAGGCCCGCAGGGCCAGAATTTGCTGACCTCTGGTCTAGAAAAGCAAGAACTCAGCTACTTCTGGGTTGAGTTATCTGTTTACCAAGAGTCTGTTGGATGTGTCCCTAGTTTGTTTATGCCAGGTGTATTTGTCGTTGTAATCCTATAATTGAATTAAATATTATATAAATTGATGAAATATGAGTGCATAAAAAATTGTTTCCTTGCAAACTATGTTAAATCCTTTGAAAGCAATACACAAAGAGATTTGCTGACATGTTGAATTAGATGTGAAAGATAAACTATTCAGGGAAAAACCCTAAAAATCTAGAAGTATGCTACATCACATTGCTTCACAAGGGTCTTTAAGTTGAAAGAAATTGGAAATAACAGGTGATGAATTATAGGATTGTGGGTGTGATTTATGCAAGAAAGTCAAAGGGGGATTTGAGTCAAGATCCTCAAAGAAAAACTAGTGCCTGAATGTGAATTTTTATGTTTGAAGTCGAAGCAAAGTGACTGAGGTCTGTATGTGTCTGCCTTTATGACTGCCCACTTAAACTGACTTTTTCAAGACTGGTCAATAACTCAGACCTGCTTAGGGCTTCTCCAGTACTTTATATATTTCCAATATAGTTTGAATGTTTTACGGGATATTTCTATTTAATGGCTTAAATAACAACCAAAAATTTTTTAAAAACCAATAAAAATAGGCTGGGCACAGTGGCTGATGCCTGTTATCCCCGCAGTTTGGGAGACCAAGGCAGACGGATCACCTGAGGCCAGGAGTTCGAGACCAGCCTGGCCAACATGTTGAAACCCTGTCTCTACTAAAAATACAAAAATTAGTTGGGTGTGGTGGTGCATGCCTGTAATTCCAGCTACTTGGGAGTCTGAGGCAGGAGAATCGCTTGAATCAGGGAAGCAGAAGTTGAAGTGAGCCGAGATCACACCACTGCACTCCAGTCTGGGTGACAGAGGAAGACTCCATCTCTTTAAAAAATAAACAAATTTAAAAAATAAAATGCTAGTGTGTGTTGTGAAGCCTGAAATTAGCTAGTGTGAGGGTTCCTGGGCTCCAGCCCCTGGAAGCTCTGTGCATATCCCCTCCACGTGAGTGCTCCTGTTCTCAGGATGAGCTCCTGTTTGAATCCAAAACTTTTTCAAGGGTCCAACAGTCTCAAAAGGCTACTGATGCAGAAACTCAAGTCCTGAAAGAGGTATGGATTCAGGGAGAAACAGTTCTGACCTGGTTCGGACACAGTCAGCTCCCTGATTCACCAGGCCCTTGTGGACTTGTATCTTTCTGGCTCCTGGTATCTGATGCGGTGCTGGCATGTGGTGGGCTCCTAGGTTATTGAATCAATCAACAAGAGAACATGTTAGCTAAGATATTGGTGTACCTACCTTCACAGAGACCAAATAGCAGTAGCTTAAATACCATAGATGTTTATTTCTCTCTCATGTAAGGGTCCAAGCTGGCAGCCAGCGGGTAGGGTGCCTCTGATCTACAAGGAGCTCAAGCACCATCTATGTTCTTACTCCAAGAATGTGCACCCATCCACATGGTTTAAGAATGTTTATTAGCCGGGTGCGGTGGCTCAAGCCTGTAATCCCAGCACTTTGGGAGGCCGAGGCGGGTGGATCACGAGGTCAAGAGATCGAGACCATCCTGGTCAACACGGTGAAACCCTGTCTCTACTAAAAATACAAAAACATTAGCTGGGCATGGTGGCGCATGCCTGTAATCCCAGCTACTGAGGAGGTTGAGGCAGGAGAATTGCCTGAACCCGGGAGGCGGAGGTTGCGGTGAGCCGAGATCGCGCCATTGCACTCCAGCCTGGGTAACAAGAGTGAAAGTCCGTCTCAAAAAAAAAAAAAAAAGAATGTTTATTAGGCTGGGTACAGTGGCTCATTCCTATAATCCCAGCACTTTGGGAGGCCAAGGAAGGTGGATTACCTGAGGTCAGGAGTTGGAGACCAGCCTGGCCAACATGGTGAAACCCCGTCTCTATTAAAAATACAAAAAATATTAGCCGGGTGTGGTGGCAGGTGCCTGTAATCCCAGCTACTCAGAAGCCTGAGGCAGGAGAATTGCTTGAACCTGGGAGGTGGAAGTTGTAGGGAGCCGAGATCAGGCCACTGCACTCCAGTCTGTGCAATAGAGCAAGATTCCATCTCAAAAAAAAAAAAAAAAAATAGTGTTCATGACCCCACATTCACACTCCAGGCCACAGGGATGAGAAACAAGTAGAGGGCAAGCGTTTTGCCCTTTAGGAGTGTGGTGTGGTAGAGATCCGGCTCTGGCTCACACCTGTAATCCCAGCACTTTGGGAGGCTGAGGCAGGAAGACCACTTGAGCCCAGGAATTTGAGACCAGCCTGGCAACACAACAGAATCCTGTCTCGACCAAAACAACGAAAAATAAAATAGCCTGGTTTGGTGATACGTGCCTGTAGTCACAGCTACTTGGGAGGCTGAGGTGAGGGATTGCCTGAGCCTGGGAAGTCAGGGCTGCAGTGAGTTGCAATTGGTCCACAGCGACAGAGCAAAACCCCTTCTCAAAACAAACAAACAAACAAACCAAAAAAAAAAAAAAAAAAGAAGTGGGGGAGGAGGGAGAGTATCAGGAAGAACAGCTAATGGATGCTGGGCTTAATACCTAGGTACTGGGATGGTTTGTGCCGTAAACCACCATGGCACATATTTACCTATGTAACAAACCTGCACATCCAGTACGCGTACCCCTGAACTTCAAAGTTGGAAAGAAAGAAAAGAGTATGATGAGGAAGCGGCATTGCTGCTTGTGCTCCTATCCCATTGGCCAGAACTTAGTCACGTGGCCATGACTAAGCAGAAGGCTTTTGCTCCGTTTTCTTTTTCCTTTTTTTTTTTTTTTTTGAGAAAAGTCTCACTGTGTTGCCCAGGCTGGAGTGCAGTGCTGCAATCTCAGCTCACTGCAACCTGTGCCTTTCGGGTTCAAGTGATTCTGTGCCTCAGCCTTCCAAGTAGCTGGGATTACAGGCTCCCGCCACCATGCCTGACTAAGTTTTGTATTTTTAGTAGAGACGGGGTTTCATCATGTTGGCCAGGCTGGTC